TTCTCCTCTGCTCCTTGGAAATCCTTTCAAGGTTGGATCCCTTGTAGGGGACCTCTGCCTTTGCAGGGGAGCACCCTCCACAACTCTGTATGGCTGACCCCTCCACATCACTGAACTGCAGCCCCAAGGGCACCTCTTGGGAAAGCCTTCTAGGACTCCTGAATCGAAAGCAGTCGCTGTACCCACCACCCATCACGCAGCTTGTTTCCTGACTTCCTGACCCTCATTCCCGCCTGCAGTGATGTTGGCGCCTGCTTCTCTAGCTTCCCCACTGGAATGAAACAGAAGCTCTTGGAGGGCAGGGCCACATCTTCGGCACTGTTTCCCCAGTGGTGAACACACAGTAGGTGTATAATTACGTTTGTTGACTGAATGAATGCATCATCCCCCACCTGTGTACATTTTAAAATATTCCCTTAGAAATGCCAGGGGCAGAGGGTGGCCAACAAATTAATGAGGTCTGAAGGCCATTCTTTAATAACTGTAATTCCCAGAACTGGGCAGTAGAGACCTCTCTGGGCAAGATATTGGCACCACACCCTATACCCCAACCCCTCTCTACTGCAAACATATTCTTAAGCACAGTAGTAATTCTGTTCTAAGAAGCTGTGGGTCAGAAGTAAAGTGGATCAAATGCCCCCAACTCCTGAGAAGAAAGGCAGGCTGTAACACGGACAGTATTTCTACTGACGAGCATGCAAGAAGAATTTTCCATTTTTTAGCCCAGTCAACTGGGTAGGGTCGTGCATAGTGCAGAAGCAATATTTTCTTAAGAACCCCTTTGCTGGAATTCGTAAAGCAGCCAGCTGCATGGATGGGCTTCCACACTCCCTGCCTTCAGCCCCAACCCTTCAGGGTCAGAATGCAGATAGAAGAGTGGCTTTTTAGGACAAGTGAACAGAAACTTCCAACCCTCCCAATCAATGCAGATGGGAAGACACGACAGCCTGTGTCTAGCTCAGCTGTAGGCAGGACTTGGGGAGGGCTGCAGGCACGATAAGGAGAGGAAAAGACCAAAGTGGAGAAACAGCAGAGATCATGTTGAGAGCAAGGGAGTGGGTAACAATGTGGTAGGAATCCAAGTAGGTATGTGTGTAGTTATTTCCTGTGGCTTCCAAGAGAACAGCAAGGAGGAGACAAGAGAACGCCCAGCTGGCGGAATGAGGCTGCCACAGCCTTTAATTTGAAACGCAGAGATGAGCTCCTATACCAAGGCTGACTCCTGGGGCCTGTGCCTAGAGACTTTTTTGTGTGATTTGCATTACAACCATCTATTTGCATCTCAACTGTCACAAGGTGCAAACGGGTGGTTGTTGGTTTCAGCCCACCCCATCCCTTTCTCCTCTGGCTTTTCTGTGTTTTCTATAGCTGGGCAAAGGGGAGGAAATTACTCAGTGAGACTTGACAATGGAGAAAGGGTCTCTTTCAAGAACCTTTAGGTGCATTTGAAGGGTCTGGCAGAGCCCGAGGTTCAGCAAGAGGCTGAGCAGAATCTGGAGGGGGTGGTAGGCATTATCTAGTCTGTGAATTAGGTTAGCATCCTTATTAGGAACGGCTGCCACAAAGGCCTGACTGAGAGGTTAACCTGCTTCCTCCTTCCCTTTCAGTCTTTCGCCAGCACCCTCTACTGCCCCACAGTGGACCTTGGAGGTCACCTTCCTCAGGTGACCTGAGACCAAACTCAGTCGAATTTGGGCTTTAGCATATGGGTACTGACTGATGATCCAGTTTGGATAAAGCCCTGGGCTACTTCATTACTTCTTTTATCATTCAATCATGCTTTCAACTCAACCAAAATATATTTTTGCAGTGCCTCCCAAGTGCCAGGCAGAGTATGAGGCACTGGGTGGTTACACTGGTGAGCAAACAGACCTGCTCCTACCCATGGGTCATTCAGTCTAATGGCGAGACAGACACTCTTGAGATCACCACACCAGTAACTGCAAAATCAGAAGCATGGTGAGTGCAAGGGAGAGTCATGTCCTGGAGAATCTATGACAAAGGGACGTGAGCTCTCCTCACACTCCCTTCTCCAAGTCTGCTCGATAAACCTTCTCCTGCCATGCCAAGCAAATCCAGAGTCACTTTCAAACCAGACACAAATCCCAACAGATGAGTCTCCCCTCAGAAAGAGAAGTCAGAGGAATGACAAATCTTTTACGACAGCTCTTGCTTCCTCTTTGAGGTTCTCTGAGTTTCTCCAGACTTGGGACACTTGGGCCATGCTGTGCATGCCAGTGGCCTCTGTCTTGTGTTCCTGCTGGCCCTGTGACTGAATACTCCACCCTGGGAACCTGAGGCCTGACTGTCAGCACCCAAGACCAGGCTTTGGGAGCATTCATCTGGGCAGATCTGACCCCCCACCCCCCAGAGGTTTGGAGAGTGGAGAAGAAATGGGAGCTACAAAAGAACAGGGCAACTGAGACAGCAGTTTTTCTCTCCTTCTTATTTAGGAACCAGCCCAGGACCACATCTGGGGTGGTCTGGGGACAGCCCTACCGGGAAACTGGAGGAGGGCCCAGTTTCCTCCACCACCTAAGGTCAACTGGAGGTGACCTTAGGGTGGGATGCTCTGGGCTGCCTCTCCTCCTCTCTCTCTCTGCACCTTGCTGTGCCCTGGAGAAGTATGACCCTGTGGGAAGGAGGCCAGTCCTCTACTGTTAGAGACACTGACCAAACCCCAACAGATCAGGGCCCCTGCCGTCAGCATTCCTGCAGGTGCTTTAGACAGGCTTCCCGGGAAGGGAGTCTGAGGTAAAACCCAAGGGCACAGGGTAACCTTGACATCCCACAACAAGTCAAGGTGAGCAGGCCCTGCCAGGGGTGGTGCCCCCTGCACCCATATGGTGAACTTCTGGGTGTGGCCGGCACATGCTAAGTCCTATACACTATCAGCTGATCTCCTCCTCTCCACACACCTTGTTGCTGTCCTTTGTGGCAGACACAAATATTTAGCTGCTTACCTACATCCCCCAGCCTTCAGGCAGTGAGGTGGGGGCATATATCTAGTGCTGGTGGATGGGCCTTGAGCAGAAGTCACACTTCTGAGATGAAGCAAAGAAGAGCTGGGACTTAACCCCGTGGCTGCCTCCTGCCACAACCACAATCCTGCAGAGTGTGCGCCTAAGCGACCACACCGAGGGGCTCTCCCTGCCTCCCCTGGCTGGACAAGCAGTCCGAGGGAGAAGAAACTGCGCTTGCAGGGTTAATTTGTTCCTGTGATAGAAACTGACTGATACATTGCCTATTTTTTATCACACAGATGAGCAAAGTGAGGCTTAGAAAGGGTCAGTGAGTCATCCAAAGTCACGGAGCTAATAAATGGCAGGTTTGGCCCTGAACACAGGCCCTGGCTGATTCCTTGGCCTGGCAATCAAGGCTCCCCAAGGTATGTGTCCCAGCCCACCTTCCCAGCAGGCTACTCTACAATCCCTGATCAATTGCACAGGTTCCCTTGATCTACGTACTGCTTTCTCCCTCCCGTCCTCTCTGGGGGCCACAGCCTGGCTCCCCCAGTCCTCCTGAGCACTCTTTCACCACCTGATTTTTATCCCAAGGCTTAGCCCTAGTCCCCCTCTTACCACAGAGTCTTTCCTGATGCTCCCAGTCCCTGCCTCCCTCTTCCTCAGCTGAGCTCTGGAGCCTCACTGCCTACAGCCACTGGACTCTGGACCACACTATTTCCAGTGTCTCTCTTCCCTTGGGCATTATTATCAGCCTGAAACCAAAGATGGAACTTTCTCCTGAGGTTCTCATTCACATAGCAGTCTCTAAACGGGGTCTGCTCTCCCGAGGAATACAAGGTGATCCATGGGGTGTGAGAACATGTGAGAACCTGTTTTTGTACCTGTTTATCTCCACCTTTTAAACTTTCTACATTATTGCATATGTTTTAAAATTACATATTATATTTGCATAAACACATTTGGCCCCATGAGGCAGGGACCAAAGATCCCACTTCCTGAATTTCCTTAAGTGATCAAATATAGCTCTGTGTAAACAATAGGTGCTCAGTACATACTTCAATTATCTCAGAGAGGTAGGGTCCAAAAGACTCAGCAGAAGAAGGCATATCATATGTGTACACATGTACAGAAATGTGCCTGTGCATGTACATATACACACACACATAGAGGCACTGACTTGCCCGTGTGAACCTGAGTCCTTGGGGGGACTGGGTACAGCTGAGAGAAGCTGACAGGAGAGGGGCCCCAGGCCTGGAGTAAGGCCAGTGAGAGAGCTTCACGCGAGGAGTAATTGCAGAGAAGCACCTCTGGCGGGAAACCCTGATGGAATTCCTGAGCAGAGTGGGCCGAGAGAGCAGCGGTAATAAACAGAAGTCCTATTAAGGTTGTGACTGCTGACGGGCAAGGGAGGCGGGGCAAGGGGAGACACTCAGGCCAGCAGAATGACATGCGGCGGAGCTGGAGCCCCCGCCTCCTGGAGCTCCTTCTGGAGCTGTCTCTCTCACTCAGAGCCCACGCCCTTCCCTCTTGACACTGGCCTCAGCCTCCAGGCTCCCAGGCAAGGGGGTGCAGGCATGCTTGTGGCCTGGGAGCCTCTGGCAGGCACTTGCACTACTTGCAAGGAAAAGGTGGGGTCATTATCACCCCAAAAGCAGGAATAAGACTTATTCCAAAGTCACCATTTATATAAGAGCCTCTCCCTTTTAAAATTTCTATTTTATGCATGTATGTTTCATAATACACAGACTAGGTTAGTATGATGATCACGTATATAAATTTCTAAAATAGAACTATGCATTGGAGGTGTGTACTAAAACACTTTGTACAGGATGTCAGGGACTAGTCCAAAAGTTTAGAGACTCCTGATTTTTGCAGCCTTATTCATCCTCAGCATGTAGCAGGGGAGGGTGAGGCAAAGCATGTTTCTATTTTATAGATGGGGACCTGCGAGCCCAGAGATCCCTGGTGTCCCCCCCGAGGGTCGAGCAGCCCAGGCCGGGAGAGGGACTGGACACCACATGTTAAGGGACTCACCTCGTCCTTGTCTACCACCTGGATGAAGAGGGGCAGAGCAAAGCCAACCTGTGCCAGCTCAGTGATGGCCACGCTGTACTCAGAGCTGTTGAACTCTGGGGCGTTGTCATTGATGTCAATCACCAGGATGTTGAAGGTTGTGGTCACTGTGGCGTCGGATGGGGTGCGGTCCTCATTTAGCTCTGTGCCCTGCAGACAGAAGAATAAACATGCCAGGGATGAAGGGAGCCATGATCACAGTAAGAGATGTCATTCATTCGGGCTTTCTCAATGTTGGGCACTGCACTTTATGTGAATTATTCCATCTCATCCTCACCATAACCCCAGGAAGAAGATTCTACCATTAGCATCTCCATTTTACTGATTCCCGTTACTGATGGGGAAACTGAAACTCAGAGAGGTTAAGTGACTTATACAAGGACACACAGCCAGAGTAGGTGTCAAACTCAGGCAGTGGGATGAGGTGGGGTGCAGAGGACAAGACAGATTTCAGGATTCATCTGGAGGTAAAGGGATGAAAATGATGCCAAATTATTTACTTGGCAAATGACGAAACAGGCTGAGAACATATGTGCTAGCAGATAATCAAGACTTAATTCAGCACCTGCTGTAGACTGAACACTATGCAGGCACTGTGAGGGTCCTAGCTGGACTCAGGAATAGATGGACTCAGACACCTGGGCACCCAGTCTCTGGACAGAGTCCCTGGGCCACCAAGTAGTCCTTCCCAGCCCTTCTGAGCCAGAATCTCTGGGTGAGAAGCTCAGGACTAGGTATCTTTTACTAGCTACCCAGAGGATTGGGATTCACAGCCAAGTGGGGAAACTCTACATTATATTTATAGAAAGATGGAAAAGCTGAGCTCGGGGTCCCACACTGAGTTGATGGTGTCGCTGGGACTGTGGAGCAGCTCTCTCACATTGGAGCTGCCCGCCTCCGGAGGAAGAGAACGGAGACAGGAGAGGAGGCTAAGAGGGGCCCTGGGGTTGGAATTGGATGGGAAGGTGGTGTTAGCTCCCCATCCCCTGCTGGTCCACATGTGGACATAGGGTAGATAGGACAGAGCCAGTGGGAGAGTCGGAGCTAATCAATCCATCGCTGCCACAGGCCTTCTCAAAGTCAAGAGGAACAGTGAAAGGCAGGCTGGGGGCACTATCCTTCCCATGCCAGAGAAGGGCCTTCTTCCCAGAGCCCCTCTCCTCGGTCCTTGTATCACCCCCTCTCTAAATCGAAGTCTGGGGCTGGGGAGGACGCCTGTGGCCCAGGCAGCATCCGCACCCTATATGGGTTTCCCAGGGAATGCCTCAGCAAGTCATTGATTTTAATTAAAACCGACCATGAGTAGCAGGGGGCTGCAGGAGGCGGGGGGCTGTGGCTCTGTCATACCTTCTGGGGTGGGGACCACCGCTGCTTTGGCCTCTCCCTTCTGTATTGCTCTTTCCTCACGAGCTAACAGCCCCCAGGGAAGCTACGAAAATTAGAAACAGGGGAAAACCCCAGAAATGGGGTAACTCTAAGAATCCAAGTTGGCTATAAGAGAACTTGAAATCATGGGGTAACAGAAAGGAGAGTAGGATGCGCACCCACTCCGTGCCTCCTCATCCCCTGAAATGGGGATGAAAGTCACAATCCTCTGTGGTCATCGATAAGGGCTCTGAGATGACCAGCAGGGTCCCTGACAAGGCCCATGTGTGACAAGCACTGGTCCTTCCTGACAGGGGCCCTGGGCGCAAGCCCCGGGCATCAGCGTAGGGTATGGGAACAGCAGTGATGTGCCTCCTGGAGCCTCCACCTTGGGTACCACTGGAGGCTGGCACCAAGGCATGGGCATCCCCTCTGTCCAGGATGGAGGTGTCCGGCTCTCACCTTCACGGTCAGGATGAAGCCATGGCTATACAGGGGGTTCTCCCGGTCCAGCAGGCCATTCAAGGTCAGTGCCCCACTGATGTAGTCCAGGGCAAAGATGCTGTTGGTATTCCCTGCAAGAGAGAATTCAGGGTGTGACTGGGGCCCAGGGCAGGTGGACAGGGGGCTGGTGCCAGGGTCCCTCTCAGGGCATTAAGGGCTAATCAGTAACTTAAAATGGATGCAGGTTCCAGAAGCAATGAAAAGAACCCTGGGATCCAACAGGGCACACAGCCCAGGTGGCAGACGACACTGAATCACAAGAGGAGGACATTCTGCCCAGTCCGACTTCCTCGAGGCTCTGACTGTGTCAAGAAGAAAGTCTTGACTTGGTGCTTATATGTCTTTAACACCCTCTCTAACATTTGCGTCTTTTCCTCTTTAACAGAGAGAGAACAGGCTTCAGGATCGATAATGAGTCATTACTGCTACTTCTAAATACTTGTGTATCTCAAGACTCTGTATGGTGAAATCCCAGTCTCCAAAGATGATGGTAGCAGATGCGGTGAGCAGGTGGGGCTTCTGGGCTTAGGTCACGAGGGTGAAACCATCCTGCACGGGATTCATGCTTTATAAAAGAGACCCTGGAGAGCTCCCCTGTCCCTTCCTGTGTAAGGATTTAGCAGAAAGGTGCCATGTGAACCAGGAGGTGGGTGCTCACACTGCTGTGCTGGCACCCTGATCTCAGACTTCTAGCCTCCAGAATGGTGAGAAATAAACTCCTACGGTTGATAAGCCACCCAGGCTCCGGCATTTGTTACAGCAGCCCCTGTGAACTAAGGCACTAACCTTGTTTTGTTCCCTTGTGCTCATTTTGTGGTCATTCCCTAGTCTATCCTGTCCTTTCTAATCTATTCTATTTTACTCTAATTTTCTATAAGGCAGTGATATAAAGTTTCCTTTTATGATAAATATAAGTTAAAAACAAAATTCAATTTTAAGTATTTATTAAACTTTAAAATACACTTTTAAAGAACTGGCAAAAATCACACACAAATGGCACTGGCTCAAGTGTACCTTTACTCTGCTCTTTCCCACCAACTTTCCTTTTTATGCTCCCTACAGGCACCCCAGCCCTCACAGTGGTTTCTGCAGGGTCCTCAAATCTAATCCTGCCTCCTGTCTTTCGTTATCTGCCTTATCTCTTGGCCTTACCTCCTGTCCCCCAGTGTCAGCCCCTCCTCCAGGAAGATGGGCCTATTCTCTCTCACTGACCCTCCAGCCCCACAGGCTGCAGCAGCTGCTCTGTTCCCCAGTTGCTTCCTGTAACTGGGCTCTTTCCACCCAGCCTAAAAGCCCCCTGAAGGTGGGAGGCTTTCAAGACTGTTCTTCAAGGTACCCAGCCAGTGCTGGGTGCACAGATGTAAGCACGTTTCTGAAGGATGGCTGCCCCAGCTCACCTGAGCCCCCACCTGCCCTTGTGCCCTTCCCATCAGCCTGTGAATTCACTGGAAACTCCCAATTCCACTACTTTCTCTTCCTCATTAAGCAGTGTGTTCGTTCATTCAAATACTCACTGCCATTCATTCACATTTTCAGCAGTCCCTTGGACAGGCCATCCCATGGCCAGGCCCAGTGCTTGGCACTGTGGGGGACTCAGAGGTCACTCCGCCAGGAATTCTGATGCTGAAGCACTTATAGCCTCATCAGAGAGCTTTGACATCCACAAGGATCAGTATCTCCTTTTTATAAATCATGCACAAAGCAGTAGCCCCTTGTTGAATGATATTCCTGCTGCAGGAAGAGGCTGTTCACACAGGGGAAGGCTTAAAGAAGGAAAGCTTCATGGAGGAGGTGACATTAATTCCCTACACCACACCATTGGCTAGCTGTGTGACCTTGGGCCAGTTATCTAACCACTCTGTATCTTAGTCTCATTTGTGAAATTAGGATAATAATGGATCTATCTCATAGGGTTGTGAGAACTAAATGAATGTGAAAAAAAAAATACATGTGTACAGACTTGGAACTGTTCCTGGCACAAAATAAGTACTTAATAAATGCTCTTTGAGCTGGAACTGGAAAGACAGGTAGGACTGGGGAAGGGGTGGATGGACACTGATTCCATAGGTAGGAACTAACATCCAAGCCCCCAACACACAAGGTGGACACCAGGACGGCCCATGGAGGCTGCTGTTATCTCCCCACTTGGTCTCTTCTCCAGCTCTAAGGGATCTGTGCACAGAAAGACCTCAGATCCTCTCTTGGATTAACTAGAGGGAAAGAAGAGGGGAGACAACATCCCTCTCTAACTTTAGACTGAGGCAAGGCTGTTTTCAGCTGGCCCATGCTGGTTAGCAAGGTGGCCCACTCCCACCCCATCCTCCTAGGCTACTGCAGAGGCTGCCCAAGGCAGGGGAGAGGCTGCTGACGGAGGAGCCCGTTTGGTCTCATCATTCTCAGACTGTGGGCTTCGGAGACTCTGACCTGGGCCAGGCCAGGGGACATCCCCCTAGCCTTCACCTTGCCTAAGGCTTTGTCCTGCAGCCTGGGTACCCTCCTGAGGGCTTTTGTATGACTGCCTTCATGGAGCGGGAAGGACAGGGTTGCAAGGAGGCATATAAATGCATGGATACAAAGGAGTTTTTTAAGCTAGGAATTCTGCTGTTGGGGAAACAAGAGGAGGTGTGCTTTCATCTGCTCATCATTAGCTAATCCACCCGGCAAACAATTACTGAGCTCCTACAATGTACAAGGGACACCTTCCAATGGGGAATGTATAGCTCTCAACAGGCATTCCCATGACAGGGTGATCAGTGCTGAGGTGGCTGGGGTGTGGACAGCGCAGGGTGCTTCAGGGGCTGGGTTCTCAGAACCCGTAAATGCCGAGCTGGAGGGCTGCCCTGAGGCAAGACCTCCAGGCTCCTGCCTCCCGCACCCACTTCCCCACCACACACATATTCATGGACCCCGCCTCCCCAGGTTCGCTGTCCAGCATCCCATCATTCCAGATTTTCATATAAATTTATTCTCTTCAATAAAGGAAGCTATCAATGTTTAAATGTGATTCAACTTTTATCTTTGCAAGATTTTTCCTATAAATCATTTACAAACCAGAAGCCCCTCGTTGAATGATGTGCTCTGCCTTTCAGTTTGGTTATCTCTCCTGGCTCGCTTAGTTGGGTCCCCCACTCAGCACCTTTATCCTACTCATTGCCATGCTGCCCATCCCCAACTCAGAGTCTGTCCCCAGCACATAAAATAACCCCTACTCCAGCCTAGGCACTTTGTCCAACCTGCAGGCAAATATCCCTCAGCTGGTACAAATTCAAACTCAAGGACCCTTCCCCAACACACACACACACACACACACACACACACACACACACACAATATTTTCACACATCTACCAGTTTTCTACAAAGTATGAGTGACTAACTGCCAGGACCAACAATCAGAAAGGGTTATACTCTGGGAGCTGACAAGACCACCTAAGCAAGTCACTGGCTCTGATGATCCTCCTGTCACCATGGTAACATCAGCACTCACTGGGATGCTGGGCTCAGACTGCAGCAGGAGGTGAGTCTTGTACCCCAAACAGGGCAGGTCTCATTCGAAGACTGATGGATCAGTCAGATCACTCATTCATCCAAGTTCATATCAAGCACCTACTGTGTGTGAAATGCTAGAGAGTCAGCAGAGAAAAGCAGGCAAGGTTCAAACCTTCAGCCTCACACAAAAGATTCACAATCAGGACACAATCACACTACCTGAGTGTATAAGTACTTGCGAAGCTAAGGTCCCTGAATGAAAGATAGGTGGAGCAGAGAAACAGTTGTACCCTGTGGAGGCAAATTGTCTGGGTTCCCATCATGCTCTGCTACGTGCTAACTGGGTGACCTTGATCAAGTTATTTAACATATCTGGCCCTCAGTTTCCTAGTCTGTAAAATGGAGGTAATGGGGTAATAGTACCCACTCCAGAGTGTTGCTGTGAGGATTAAATGAGTTAATACAGTGTCTGGCACATAGGAAGCTCTCAATAAATGTTGGCCACCTGCTCTGCACCAAGATACTACCGTGGATCATCTACTTCACCCACCCCACCCAGGAGCCTTTGCCTAGAGTTTGTGCCCACTGGTAGCACTGAAGCCAACACATTCTCTCTTACCAGCAGAGTCTCACAACCCAGGGCTCAGATGTATTAATACAAGGTGGCAGCCTTGAGGCTAAGTCTGAGAACAAAACCCTCAGGTCCAGAGCGCATTGCCTTCAGGGTTCCAGCCTTGAGGTGGAGCCTCACTTCCTTGCTTCCCTCCCTTACTGCCCTTCTACCTGGGCGGGTGGGAGGGTGGTGTGGGCTTGGCAACCATACACATGGGTTTCTTTGTTATTCTGGAAACTGACACTACCCTGTCAGTGCTCTGGTCTCCCAGACATTTTTCATCCAAGTCCCATGGGGACCAGGGGGCTGGGGGTGCGGCTCACGGGGGATGCCTTTCACCTGTTCAGCCCCCACTGCTGAGCAGAAGGGCAGCTGGTTCCCCTGGGTTGACAGGTGCTGTCCTAGGCGTGTGGGGATACACCTAGTAGGGAGGGGAACTTGTGGGGAGTGGGGCTGCACCTTGAGAGCCCTAAGGCTTCGGGGACAGGCGGCTTAAAGCGTTCACACAAGAGAAGAAGCAGGTCATTGCTGGCCCTGCTGGTTCCCTGGGACAGCCACCTCCCTCGAGGAACTTCAGGCATCAAGACCTCTTCTGATTTGCAAGAGAGGAGTTGAGAAGATGTGAATCAAGTTCACAAAAGCACAGAAGGCTGCTGAAGGGGAGTCACAGCCCTCTTTCCCCTATTTATTAAAAAAAATTAGTGGCTACAATTTATTGAACCCTTCCCTATGCCAGGCACTGAGCTAAGCTGTCTGCACAATTATATGACTCAGTCTTCACAATAACTTTAGAAGGAGATATCCCACGTACATATGAGGAAGCAGGCTCAGAGACGTTAAATAACTTGTCCAAGGTCACATGGCTGGTGAGTGGCTGGCCTGGACTGAGATTTATGTCTCTCTTTCTCTCCTTGCAGGCATTCATCCTGCACCCACTCTGCACCTGGCCCTGGGCTAAGGCACAAGGAACAGGGCGAGACATTGTCCTCCTTCAC